CATCGCCCTGATAATGGAGGAAGCAAGTACCCCGAAACGTCGATAAATTATCAGACTAGACGGCCCAACAACCCAGAATCAAAAATTTGTAATATTCACCGCAGTAAGAACAACGTTGCAAAATTAAGTTAAGAGTAGCCGTGTATAAAACATGATACTCTAAACAATATACTTACGCCTCTACATGTAAAGGTAAAATTATTTTTAAAACATGCCAATATATCGACGATCAAATCAACGAATACGCAAAATGTATATCTCAAACAACAGAAACTATTTATCTTGTACGAGGAATTATTCTTGTGACGTCATCAGTTACAATCTGTGCTGTTGCTCCTGATGCTACTGGATACTTCCTTGCCGTTCCTGAAAATACAGGAAATAACTAGATTTTCGAGCTCTCGTGATTGTTTTATTGACTACAAGCCGCATGTATAACGTCACTGCAAAATTAAAAGAATAAGATTATCTTTCTTAATTTAACCATGTACAATTCAGAGGTAAATACAACCAACTTACTAGAATGTTCTTCTAACATTCTAAATTAACTCTTTGAAACAGCAATACTATCTTAAAATAAATATTATGTTAAAAAGCAATCCACTTTCGTGATACTGAATGGCAATAGCAAATGGAAACTGATTTTTTGATGACTTCAAATAATTCTGCGAAGATAATATTAAAAACAAACCAGGATCATAAGGGAAAATAAACAATGACGCCTCCTATCGGTGACATCAAACTGAAGTGCAAAGATGATGTCACAAAGCAGTTCCCGGTACGTAATAGCTTATAAATGACACGGATCTCCCGTTTTACAGAAGAAAATATCGAGTTATAAATTTAAATTACAGAATTCTGCGGATTTGAACTGAAATTATTGATAGAAGTTTATATGTATTTTATCAAATGAATGTTTAATTAATATCATTAAAAGTTTAGGCCATCTTTGTGTTGCTTCCAACTTAGTCTTGCTTCAAGTCTGACACGAAAAGTAACGTAGTAATATGTAGTTCATTTTATTTAATTAACAGAATAATTCCATTAGGTTTGCATTTTAAGAATTGCTGCTGCTTTCATATTTGTATTCCAGGAAACTCCGAGATAAAAGCTCGAATAACTTGTCCGGAAAGGGTGGCAAATCGTTGGCATATCCTGAACATATAAAATGACAATTAGAAGCTAACGCTCAGGAGAACCCTGCCGTAATGTAATGTATACACACATGGTTGGCTTCTTTACATCACAATCAATAGGGCCGTGTCTGACCGACATGTCTGTGGCAGCGGAGGTGTGAAGTGGCCACACGACACCCCACGTTTGTGACCCATGAAATGTGAGAGCAGAGTGGGACGTTGAACGACACGCCACCGTTCAAAACGCCCCTCGAGGCACAGAATGTTCAGGTACAGATGTAACGCGGCACTGATTAATCCTTTGAAGCCAAAGCTTGTTTAAATATTATTTAAGAATTGAGTTCGTACCTCGAAGAAAACACCGCACTTCACCATTACAATGATAAATAAGTTAATGCTGTTCAAGGAAATGAAAGCTGTTTACGGCGAGAGTCAAACTAAACCCATAAACACTGACCGAGTGTTTGAACATCAGCTTTGGAATCACTCATGCACACACGTACTCTAAGCCTTACGTAAAGGTCTGAGTTAAGATAAAAAAACAGAATCAAATTCTGTAACCCAGACTTCTGATTGCATGAACATTTCTGAAACCAATCAAGAAACACATTGTCCCTAATGCCGTTTCTATACTCATTCACTTCAATTCCCTTCCTAACTTTTACTCACTAATTCTCTCACTCATTAACACTTCGGCTCTCCCACGGTAATTCTTATCAATGAAATCTCTCGCCTATGAACTCATTCTGTGTCGCTAACTTACTCACTAACCCACAAACTAACTACCACAATCTTACTATTTCTTTCTTTTTTATTGCAAAGGTACGAAAAGTCCTTGGAAAGTCAATAAAAGTTTGCTTAATATCGGTTTGTAGCGTGCATTGCCTGCAATGTTGTGTTTCGACTACCTGCACAACGCAGGTGGCGGAGAAGTTGCCGTACTGACGCGGCGAACCGTATTCCTGCATTTTACCGTTGAATGCTTTTGTAACAATTTGTAATGCCGTGTGTTAAGATGAAGGTCTGATGCACGACTTATAAACTGATGAGGTGAAATAAAATTCAAAACAAAATAGTAGAGGCGTGTATTACAACTTGGTGTTATACAATAAGTTAAAACAATAACCAAATTTAACATAAATCTTGGTTGTGACATTCCTTTCATGTAATGGATCGGTATCCAGGGCCCTGTTTGTGAAAAACGGAAACAAATGAAAGTGCTGTTGGCACTGTGACACTACAAGCCTGTAGGCCTATGTTCTCTTCCTATGGTACTCTGGGTTATACAAACTGCTAACGCTTGTTCAACCGTGTGAGATATAAAGTTTACAAGTTTTATTATCTTTAAATTTTAAACAACTTTTAGTTTAGAGCCCTAGTAAACAATTTTTGTCTTTTTCCGTTCAGTAGTTTCGGAACATAACATGAAGACAGAAGAACGAACTATCTTCTCACTGTATTTGCTTCGTGCAAAAAGGCATTATGTCCGAATAAAGGCTTTCTAATGAATGTATTTCAGAAGGTAATTAGGGGAAAGTCAAAGCCGAAAGTGAAATAAAACACACGTTACTGACATAACTTTGTGAAAAGTGGCTAGGATAAGGTTCACACATAACGAAAGTCACGGTCTCATGGAGCCACTGACCATAATAAGATTGACAAAATAAATTACAACGGAACGCCTTGTTTTTGCGATGGAAACAGATTTTTTTAAATATAATGAACCTTCGTCCTTGAGCGAAGCATAATATGAGACCGCACTTTCTATTAAGCTGTAAACAACGTCACTTTCATTATATGCGCATGTTACTAATCACTTTCCTCGTGGCATTTAGTTGGAGAATGTAATGGATAGCAAATTACAGGATTTTTAAAAGGAACCTCCTGCAAAGAGCTTCGAATAATAATGATAACTTGATGAAAGGATATTCGGTAGTATGGATACATCGTACGTTACTAGATAAAACTCACGTTAATTCTAAAGAATATTTCATTTAACATTCAACCCTAACGACATTATTTTCAGGGTTTGGCGACGTAAATATAACAAGACAAACGAGTTGCTTCTTAGTGTTTCTCCAACGCTGTGGGGCGTCTCGCCTGCCAAAGCTGTCCAACTCCAGGCACGTTTTCTGTCGGAAA